AACACTTAATCCTTGCCTGGACTCATCTAAGAGAATGTTTGGTAAGGATTAAAATTAAAATTTTTAGTAAAATTTTAATAAATGTTTTTGAAATATGTAATTGAAAAGTTGTGGGGCACATAAAAGATGTGATTAATATTTATTGTTTAACTTTGATTTAAATTAAAATCAATCTGATTTTAATCAAAACCGAACATGGGCTAAATCGAAACTTAGTCTCTAAGCTTTAAGTTTTTTAGAACATTGAAACACACACGCGAACGTACTAGTCCACATAGGAAAGTCAATGGGGCGGTTCGGGGTGAGGTAGGGGGTCTCGCCCAAACCTCGCCCCGCCTTAGACGGGGGCATGCGGGACGGGGGCGAGGGCAGGACAATTTTTTGTTCCGTTTAATTTTTTTTATTTTTTTATATTTTTTTATTTGTTTTATATATTCAAAATTTCGAGTTATATCATTATTAGAGAATAAAATACAAATTTAAAATGGGTTTTTAAAGGGTAAATTTGTCTAGAAATAAAATTATTTTAATCTTTTTTTCTTTTTTCTTTTTTCTTTTTTTCCCTTCACGGAGCTGGGCATCCTTGCCCACCCCTACTCCATGCCCCGCCTCGCCCAACCAACCCGTTCAAGGTGGATTTTTTTGCCACATTCAGGATGGGGGTGAGTTTTTTTATCATCACTAGGTCCACGTGAGCAAATTGCAATGTTGAGAAAATTCTTGGGGGTAATTATAAACGTGGATGTCGCCATGTCACGTGACTCATTAAAAAGGCACCAAATTGTCTTATATATCCCATAAAGGAATGCTCACTGATATGTTAAAAATGTCAAAAGGGCAATAGTAAAATTGAAATTACAAAATTATGATACCATAAATATAAGCCCCTGTATAATCCTCATTATTTTTAGTTTAAAGAATTTTGAAAATTATTTTTTGGGAGAATGCGTGGTTAAAAAATAAGGAAATGTTTTAAATTTAAGTGTAAAATATTTTTATTTTGTAAATATGTGATTAAAAATTATCATGTGGTAGAAAGCGTTTTAAGGCCCCGTTTGGTAGAGATTTTTTGCTCCGAAAAATTGATTTTTTGACCGTTATTTTACTATTCAAGCCGTAATTTTTGACTCCTTCTCTCACATGTGGACCCCACTTTTCTTCTAACGGTCAAAAAATCAATTCTCAAAATCCCTACCAAACGAGCCCTAAAACAATGAGAATCAAACAGGAGCTAATTATTATTTTACTACACATTTTTTCTTTTGATTATTAAATTTTTTTTAGATTGATTTAATAATTTAAAATAATATTTAAATAGAAAACATTTTTTTATGCTCAATCCTTGCTTGAACTCGTCTAAGTCGAAACTTCGCCTCTACGCTTTGAATTTTTCAGAACATTGAAAAACACACGCGAATGGAGTGGTCCACGAGCAAATTGCAATGTTGAGAAAATTCTTGGAGGTAATTATAAACGTGGATGTCGCCATGTCAGGTGGCTCATTAAACAGGCACCAAATTGTCCTATGTATCCTGTAAAGGAATGCTTACTATTATGTGAATAATGTCGAAAAAGAAATAGTAAAATTGAAATTACAAAATTATGATACTATATGAAATTAATTTTCAATTCCCATTTGTGTCAAAATAATTTAACCATATATTGTATTTTCAATTTCAAAAAAAATATATATATATATATAGAATGGCCGATAACTAAATTAAGTAAAAAAATATTTTTCAATTTTAGCACCAACGTTGACCATGGAAGTCAAATACGACTAAGCCCCCATTTGCCTCCATTTTCTAGAAATGAAAATGGGTGGAATAGTGTTTTTTTGAAAAATGAATAGTTGAAAAAGAATGAAAAATTTTCGATTTACGTATAATATTATTTTATGAAAGATTGTGTGGTTGAAAATATGAGAGAGAAAAATAGAATGTAATTTAATGGGGACCAAACATGGCTAATTATCCTCTTAATTATTTTGATAAACTCAAATAATTCGATAGAAGACAATGACAACTTTTGTTTCCATGCCATAATACAGACAAATTATCGTAATATTGTCAATTTCTTGGAATATGCTGTTTCATTGCCGACGAAGGTGGGATTATAAGTCATTTTTTTTATATTAATCACTCGTCTTAAAATTATTTTCATAGATTCTGCTTCTAATAATCTCACTGCTAATCCTCATATAAAAGAATACCAATGAGTCATGCTTGAT